ATACCTAAACTCCAGCGGTCCAGCAAAGGAATTTTAGGAATTTAGGAATTTAGCTGGGAATTTGAACGAAATCTGTTAATAAATACGACTTTTATAAGCAACTCTACTCCAGCGCCACCAGCGTGTTTTCTAGTAGCCTATAATAGGACCATATATACAAGGTATAACCTTCGACAATTTGACTGGGCTCTATTGAGTGGCTTTTTAACTCAACTCCAGCACCACCTAGCGGGTCCGTTTTTCGCAAGTGCTTTTTTCATCATGCTTACGAAATCGGTTCACAAATACAACTTTTATAAATAACTCGCCTTGAAAGAAATCGGTTTATGAATACTACTTTTATAAATAACTCGACTTCCGCGCCACCTATCGGGTCTATTTTTGGGAAACGTGTTTGCCTTCATGCTGGTAGCTTACATTTTGAATTTAAAACAAATCGGTTCATAAATACGATTTTTATAAATAACTCGACCCCAGGGCCACCTACCGAGTTTTCTGGTTGCCTATAATAGGACCTTATATGCAAGGTATAGCTTCTGAAAATTTGACTTAAATCCATGCAGTAGTTTTTGAGTTAATTCCGAACAAAGAAAACGGCTATTATTTTATATATGTATATAGATTGTGGGTAGCATAGCTAAAAGGTTGCGAGTGTGTGTGTAAATCTGTTGAATTTCAGGGGAAACTGGTTAGCCGTGGCTTGCAGGGTGTGCGTTGAAAGCACCGCTAACTGCCAAAACGTCCATTACTTTGCATACGTGCAAAGTATAATGTCCCATAATGTCGAACTACAAAATGTTGACAATGTATACTTTTCCAAAACGCATTCGAAAAGTTATCGAAAAGCATCGCTAGAGCAATCAGCGCATCAGAAACAAAGTTGATGCTTCGTTTGTTTTTGGTTACCATTGGTGTTTTAAAAATGGAAAATTCAGAAAAATTGTTCATTGCTAAATTGAATATTTTAAAATATGCAATGTATAAGGTTGCAATGTGTCGCAAATCTGCATTTACAAACAGTTTGAATACCGCAGTACAGTAGTTTCCAAACATTGTATTGATACGTTTTGGAAGTCAGCCCCTCAGCAGAGTTGGAACTCCGGCGTGCCTAAATCGGAGTAAATCGTAGTAGAATATAAAATTCCGTAAATACTTTATACATTATTCGTTTACGTACACATATTTACACAGATGTATATACTTACAAGTAGGTAATACGAAAATTTTGCATTTTTTAATAACCTAACTTATGCTTCGGTTAGCTTTAAAACGGGAGACAAAACGACTTCGTGTTTTTTTTTAGATTTAGATACTGCAATAGGCGAACCTTATTTTTGAAAGAAAATTTAAGTAGATTCAGCGATCCGGTTTTACTCCGATCATGGTTGATTAATACGGGTTATAAACGGGCTCAATAATCTGCATAAACAGCCTTTATTTGCATTAACTCATGCATTTTCCTCTTTCAAATGCGCATAGGCAGCCGAACAAATGCACGAAATTTTTGGGGAATTTCAGGGGAATTTTCGATAACAACGCTGGTAGAAACGGTCAGCTGTTGTCTTTTGTACAAGTAAGCAAACAAAGCAAGCGAGTTTTGTGTCCGCAGTAGCCGAGTAGTGAGAGTTGCGTGCTACAAGTCTGTAGGTGCCAGGTTCGATCGTCAGTTGCAGCGATTGCCAAAAAAGGATTATTTTTTATTTTATTTTATTAATTTTTTTAATTTTTATTGGATTTTTATATTTAATTTGACTCTTTAATTTTAATTTTGCTTTCCTTCTAACTACATAAGGTTTCAAGAGAGAGTTCTTGATGCTTTTTCCAGTTAAAGGAATTATTAGTGAAATTTTCTAATTACTTGCACTTCGAAAATTAGGAAATTTTTGATTCGCATGAATGCGATAATAAAAGAAAATCTACTACGGGAATTTAGTTTTTCCCGATTTTAAGAGTGATTTACTCCTAAATCGTATTTTAGTAGTCCGAACATTGACCAGCACACAAGGCGAATTTATGTAGCGTTTTTGCTTCATTTAGAATGCAACATTTAGCACTTTCGAATATATTGTTACGATTATCCTTGAAACCTCGTCCGGATTTCCCAAATCTCTCGGTTCGTATCGCTGGATTGTTAAATAAATGCAATCGATGACCAAATTGTAGTACAATTAACTTTGTTGTACCAAAAACAATTTACAATACTCGCTAATACAGTAAAAACACTTTACAATACTTGTTAAAGCAAAAAAAACAGCGCTTAACTAAACTTGGTAACACAATTAAACTTATAGCTTGCTTATTCGCAACTCGCTTCTCTGCTTACTTTACTTGTAGCTTGCTGACTTGTAACTAACTCACCTCGCCGTGGCGGCGCCCTTATATACCTGCGCTGCCACTTATGGCAACTCTAAAACATTCTGAAGTTTATCGCTCATTCTCTTTCTCTCGCTGTTCGCAGTGTTCATCCAACTTGACGTTTCTCTTTGTGGAACATTCTACGTCATTCTTCGAACATTCTGCCTATTTCTCGTTGCTCGCTTTGTGTTGCCGCAGTATTCGCCACACTGCCCTCCACCTAAGTCTGATCGTCCCGATCAGACACACTTGCGGTTCCAAACGCTGCAAGCCTTTCCAAGTGGACCACCTTCATCTTGTTTCTTGGTATCCCAACGGTCTGGATCCGATACACTACGTCATTTAGCCGTTTTATGACCTTATACGGACCTTCCCAGTTGCATTGTAGTTTTGGGGACAAACCTTTCTTTCGTTGTGGATTGTACAGCAACACCAAATCTCCTTCCTGGAAACCCTCGGAATTCATCGCCTTATCATACCTGGCTTTCATCTTGTCACTCATAATTTGTGTGCGCTGTCTCACAAGAGCATGTATCTCTCTCAGCTCCTCTTCCAGGATGTTTGACGTCTCTTTTCCAATCCTTCTAGCATCACCAGTCACCCCAAACTTCAGATCACTAGGCAAACGGAGCTCACTGCCGAATATTACCCTTGCCGGAGTTTTACCCGTTGTTTCATGCACTGCTGACCGGTATCCCATCAGGAACAAGGGTATCCGGACATCCCAATCTTTTTGAATCTTGTCCACGACCTTCCGCAAATGCTCTTCCAGGGTTCGGTTGAACCGTTCCACCATGCCGTCTGATTGGGGATGAAGAGCCGTCGTTCGAGTTTTCCGGATACCCAGTATCTGGCACATCTCTTGGAACACTGCCGACTCAAAATTTCTTCCCTGGTCAGAGTGCAGCTCTATAGGTACACCGTATCTCGCAACCCAATTGTAGGTGAATACCTCCGCTACTGTTTTAGCTTCCTGGCTTGGAATCGGGTATACCTCCGGCCATTTGCCAAAGTAGTCCATAACCACAAGGACGTATTTGTTTCCCTGTGCGCTCATAGGAAATGGACCGGCTACATCCATGGCAATCCGCTCGAAAGGTGCACCTGAGTTATATTGCTTCATCTGGCCATGACTTCTGGATTTCGGCCCCTTAGCTGCAATACACTCCGCGTAGTTAGCAATCCACTCTGCGACCGATTGCCGACAACCAACCCAATAGAACCTCTGCTTAACCTTCTCCAGGGTCTTCGTAATTCCCAGGTGCCCTCCACTAGGACCATTGTGGAATTCCTTGAGTACATCCGGAATTCTTACCCTTGGAACTACTATCAGGTTTCGGGAGCACTGGCCATCTTCGCTTTCCCATACCCTATGCAAACAGCCAGATATTAATTTTAAGCTGTTCCATTGCGCCCAGTACGCCTTTGCGATGGGGCTTTCCGCTGCCATTTGTTCTTAGTTGGCCTTCTGTCCACCTCCAGTCCATGCATCAAAAGCTCCACATCTGGATCTTCCTGCTGACACTTTCGTAGCTGTTCTTCCTTCCACTCTTCCGCTGGTGTTATTGTCGTTAGACGGACGTCTATAATGTCCTCTTTTCCCTCAGCTTTTGAGCAGTGTTTACATTCCAGGCTACATGGTCGGCGGGACATAGCATGAGCATTACCGTGGACACTTCCCTTGCGGTGCTCAATAGCAAAGTCATAACTTTGCAGTCTCTCAATCCACCGAGCTAGCTGTCCTTCTGGATTCTTAAACTGTAGTAGCCACTTCAGCGCTGCATGGTCCGTTCGAACTCGGAAACGTTGCCCATAGAGGTACTTGTGGAAATGTTTGACGCCGTCCACCAACGCTAGTAGTTCTCTCCGAGTTACGCAGTAGTTCCTCTCTGGTTTTCCAATCGACCGGCTATAGTAGGCAACTACCTTCTCCTGCCCATCAATTACCTGCGACAGTACGCCTCCTATGGCATAACCACTAGCATCCGTAGCCAAAATAAACGTTGCACCTGGAACGGGATACGCTAGCATAAGTGAAGTACATAGTCGTTCCTTCAGAGTCTGGAAAGCCTCCTCCTGCTCCTTGTTCCACTCGAAGGCTCTATTTTTCCTAGTGAGCTCGTGGAGGCTATTAGCAACGCTGGCGAAATTCGGAACAAATCGGCGGTAGTAGGTGCATAGCCCAAGAAAACTTCGTAGTTCGTGTAGGTTCCTAGGTCTTGGCCAATCCTTTACTGCTTCTATCTTTTCCTTCGCAGTACAGATGCCCTCCGTTGTCACATTGTGCCCTAAGTAGTTCACCTCCTTCCTGAACAGTGAGCATTTTTTAGGACTTAGCTTCAGACCAGCGGCAGCTATCCTCTGGAAAACTTCTTCCAAATTGTTCAGGTGTTCCTCAAAGCTTTTACCCAATACGATAATGTCGTATAGATACACCAAACATGTTTTCCAACGCAGTCCTTTGAGCACATGGTCCATAAGTCGTTCAAAAGTGGCAGGAGCGTTGCATAATCCAAAGGGCATCACCGTGAATTGCCACAGACCGTCTTCAATGCTGAAAGCTGTATTCTCCTTATCCTCGTCACTTACCTCCACCTGCCAATAACCGCCCTTAAGGTCGAGTGTTGAGAACCACTTTGTTCCAGTCAACGAGTCCAGAGTGTCCTGGGAAGAGGATAGCTGTCCTTTTTCGTCACATCGTTTAGTTTTCGGTAGTCTACGCAGAACCGCATTTGACTATCCTTCTTCTTCACAAGTACTACCGGCGAACTCCATGGACTCGCTGATGGTTCAATCACACTACTCTCACTCATTTCTTCTATTATTTGGCTAACAGTTTCACGTTTGGCAAGTGGAACACGCCGAGGAGCTTGACGGATTGGCCTTGCATCGCCAGTATCAATGCGATTTTTCACAACGTTAGTCCTGCCTGGTTTGTCGCCATCCTTGACGAATATGTTGCAGTATCTTCGGAGAAGTTCCTTAGCCTTGTGCTGGTATTTTTCTTCCAACCCTTCCGTCCATGCATTAATGT